TGCCTTATGTTCCAGACTTGTGCCCGGTACTTGAAACATGTAATGAATTACAATTACAAATTGCCGAGCCTCAAGTGTAATGGATTACAGTAACGACTTAACTGCGAGCCTGCGAAGACCACAAAGTTATTTGTAGGCACAACGAATAAATAATATTATTATTACTTTCGCTGAAATGTAAGGGGTTACTTTACTCGTCACGTTACAAATTACTTTCACGTAACTTTTACCGTACACTTATCAAGAACATAACACGAACACTTTTATGTTTTCAAAAATGTTCTGCAACTTTATGGTAGTCCTTGTAAAAATAAATTGTTGTTTCGAGGAGAAAGGATATAGGTGCACTCCGTTGACGTCTAAGTTGAGAAGGCAGTGTAAGCTGAAACCAGACCCGCCATCCCGCTAGCTTACGGCGACCGGAAATGATCACTGCCATTCCGCAGACAAAGCTAGCGGTGCGACTGCTTAGTAGCAGCGCCTCCCTCCACTAAAAGATTCGTAGGTAATGGACATATATCTTGCAAAGATTCTTTTTGAAATGGGCCTTTCAAGCGTGAGCGCAACGTCTCAACTCTGCTGTGTGGGGCCTGTAGCTTTGACACACCGTCAGATTATGCATGAACCGAGTATCGTTGCATGCAGCACTGAAAAATGCATGGGCGCGAGCGCTCGTGTTTAATCTTTGGTCGAGCGGGTGGTCACACATTTAGTTTACTACAGTTTCTGTGTTATGTTTATATTTTTGAAGAGTAACGAGAAATTAAGTAATCAGTGTCCAATATTTGTAACGAAGTTACATTACAAATGACTGCGGCAAAAGCAATAACACAATTACTTGAAATGTAACGGATTAAAAGTAATCCGTTGCTTGTGACGGATTACTTCAAAAGTCTACTAGTTTTACCGCCAAGCTTGACTGTTTGTCTTCGTGCGTTACGTTCCACCGAAACACATGTCAAGGCCCTAGAGGCCTATATGCCCTTGAGGGCAAACATGCTATCAAAACATGTCACATCGACGTCGTGCAATGGCAATCGTCATGTCTGGACACCACGCAAAGTCACGATGATGCAACAAAAACGTCGTCGTGACGTCGATGTGACGTCAAACCGTAAACAACGTCATCTTTTGCATTCCGTTACGAAATCGTCACGACACGCGAAGATGACGTTACGTCGATGCCTTGACCTCGTGTAATGTGGTCGTTGTCGTGACGTGGCTTGGCGATGTGACTTCACGTCGTCGTGAACATGTGTTTTAGTTTGACATGTCACGTCATGGTGATATAAGCAAAAGTACATATATGGAGATGGCGTTAACCTGTGTGTGTGTGTGGCCACCGCTGATCTAGTGCATCTTAAAAAAACAAAGACAATAACATAATGCATTTGTGTCTTTGCGGCTGTGTCTCATCCTACTTAGGACAAGAGGCAGCTTTCGATGCTTTGGTGGTAATATTTTCCAATGAATCTCTAAAGGGGCAGTAACTACCCAAACGTAAAATGTTTTGTTTGTCTAAAACCATGCAAGTAGCAGTCAGAAGCATGCAAAAAATACAAAAAAAAAGCTTTTCCACGCGCGCGCGCCTTTTTATTTTTGGCGATTTTCTCTCCCTCGTCTAACCTTCTCGTTCTTTATTTGTGACATAATCGACCATGAAATTTATAAGCTTTGTAAGCAACATTTTCATGTTATTTCATAAAAACATTCGTAAAAAACATGTTTTTTTTAACGTAATTCCAAAGGCATTTATTACGCTGCTTTTTTTAAATATCGAAAATCGTAGTCCAGGAATGATGTCGCCTCCTGGCTTTTTATCGTCCCTCGGAAGGCATGGCAGCTCTCGGCACATGTAGCGCAGAGGTTGACCAGTGAATCGGAGCGTCGGACTGTCACGAATCGCGGTGTTTTCTTGTAAGCTTTGTGTGAGAACTCTCGGGCACACGAGCAGTGCAAGATGCATGGTGTCAACTTTCGGCCGTGCCCGTTCCCATGCGGCTGTTTATGAAACCGGGCGGAAGAACCCTCTCTCCAGGTGAGAGAGGACGTGGGAGCGCTGGATGGTGTCTCCATTCTTCGAAATTCGAAGCCGACCGAGAGCATTGGTTTGTTGTATTTGTTATTTTAATTTTGCTTGTTGACCGAAGACAGTGCTCACAACCAAGCATCTCGAATTGCGTTCACCAACGCGCAGACGGGCAAAGTCTCTCGCGGATTGTTTCTCGGTACTGTACTTTTGTATTTTTAGTTGCGTTGCTAAAACGAAGAGCAGAGATTGGCGCTAACAAGCTCATTGCTGATTGGCCAGATTACAAGCCCTGAAAATGCTGCTAGTCTCAATATAAAGACGTGGACTGGCGGGAAAAAGGGTGGTTCGTCTTTGGGGTTAGAAGTGCCCCGAGCTGGCCAGGACTCCACTCGTCATTGCCTTGTTTTTGAGTCGCGATTGTATTTTCTGTACGTAGGGCTGTGACCCTAGTGTGCCTGCAGGCCTGAGCTTATTTTAGCCTTCGGGCGTGTTTGCACTGCGGTGGGTGTGCATGCGCGTATAGTGCGTCGGGTCGTCCCTGCAAGGAGCGTGAAGATTCCGGACTCCGTGACGACTCCTCTTCATTGACGAGGGACTCCAAGACAGGCTTCGGCAGCGTCTGAACTCCAGATAAGACTTTTATTTTATGTTGCGATTGGCTAGGGGCGAACGTGTTCGATAAATTTTTTTAAGTTTGTCTTATCGGGGGTTGTTCGGGAATGTTTTTAGCGTTACTAACCGGGATGTTAGTGCACGTACTCCCGAGGGTTTTTGGATAGTTCGCTAAGTGATTTCTATGTTGTTCTTACTTTGTCGCCGCGCGCCCCCGACTGCTTGGTGTTAAGTCTTATTAAATTTGTGCTTTGTTTTTGACCATCTACGTGTCGTCGCCTCCTTACCTGACATTGCACCGGGCGTGGACCTATCGCCTGCCATCAGTCCAACCTAGCGCTTCTATTTTTTTTTTTTTTAGTAATTTTTGTTGGCCTCGGAGTGGGCTGTTATTTTCATTGATTGAAGATTTCCCCCACTTCCGTGACACGGACGATGTTCTCTTTTCAGTGCCTGACGACCTCTTATACTTCGAAAAGGAAATCGTCAAACGGTAAAAACAACCGGGTTTTGTGCCTGTGTGACGTTTGTGCCTGTGCACAAACGGCTAATACGCGTCCTCCTCGACCTCACATCATATCGAAGAATTTGAGTTCGCTCAAAGGGCCCTAAAAGGAATTGAGACTGAAAAGTGAAGAGTCGTTTGCTTGCAGAGATAGGCAGCAGAGGCGGCATACACAGAGAAGCCTGGTTGATCACTGGACGCGAGATAACACGACACTTCCGGTCGGCACGGTTCGGAGTCCGAGAGAAGCTCGAGTTATAGGACGACTCAATCTTTGACATCACTGCACTGGCGCGGATCGCGCAAAAACTTCGAATTCGGCCTTTGAATTTTTTTTTATTTTACTTCACAACTACTTAGTTCCCGGGCTTCACATTTTGAGAGTAATGTCCAGGCATCGATTTTAATATTTTGGAATAATTAAAGAAACAAAAAATGCCCGCATCTCCACGTGGTGAATGATGTTGATTGGGGCGAAGCTCTGGTGGTGCTGATGATACTGATTTTGTTCATAGGTAGAGCAGATGGTGATGATTTGTTTTGTTTTTATTGCTCATGGGTAGTGCTGAGTTCCGGGTTGGTGAAATGCAGAGTGAGTGGTTCTTCTAGCGGAAAAGCTTGGATCCGCTAGAAGCCGTGGGATCGCATCTGCACCGCTTAAGTCAATGGTCCATGTCAGAAAGAGAATGTGTGGTATGGAACGTGGTTATATACGCAGTTGAGCATTTGATCACAGCGCCCTCTCGTATATAAACGTTGAGCCAACGCATGCAAAGTTTAACTCGATTATATACGCATTTGACCGCAGCGCCCTCTCCTGTATAGACGTTGAGCGGCTACATGCAACGTTTCATCCATGAGATCCCCAGGTCTTGAGTTACTACCACATCTCAGAGCCCCCTACTCGTCCCGCAGTCGTGGCCGAGTGGTTAAGGTGATGGACTAGAAATCCATTGGGGACTCCCCGCACAGGTTCGAATCCTGTCGACTGCGCAAACATTTCTTTTTTTTTTTTAGACGACAGGTGGGATGGCAATCGATGTGAGCACGGACGCCGGACAAGGCTAGACCCTAAGGAGCTTCGCCCTTAAAAAACGGTCGTGCATCTTTAAGGCATCGGGCATTCCCCGACTCTCTAAACAAAATCTATGAGGTTTTCACGTGCCTGTAGAGCATGGAGTCGGCAAATCACTCTGAAGAGTAAATGGATCTAATCAAATAAAGATGCTTTAAATATAACTATAAATCTGAAAAAGATAATCTAGCAGGAATAGCGAACAATTAAAACTGCATTCTCGTAGTCCCTGAAATCCTTACATTTTTTGGTGTCTTATCGCATTCCGAATATAGTCGTTTGGTGACACCCCGTTGTTCGCCCTCATTGATTCCTTCATGTTCTAGTGAAAAACGAACTGTCTTATTTTAGGGTGATTTTAGTATAGGTGTTTAAACGAGACCGTGTTTTACTAATGGGATCTGTGGCGTGCCTCGTTTTGAGCTACATTATTGTATTACAATTTTTTACATAAAACATATATACTATCTTATATTGGTTTACAAGAAATAACTTTCTATTCTTTGTCGTCTTTCTTAGAAGTAAAATCTGGATAATCCAACGTAACCTGTGCATAAATATTCAACAAAACCCAGAAAGAGCTGACAGCTGGTCTGGCTTAGGAACAGAGCTCACAATTTCACTAAAACTTTAAGTTACGTTGAGCTCAAAAGACTGCAGATTCTTAGTTGTGCCCGATGATTAAAATATCAACGACCTGTTGCCAGCCAAAGTTTCAAGCTCCGTATCTAAATAAAACAAAAATAAAGTGCTCCACACTCCGACAGAAGGCTCACCCGGTGCTTGCTCTTGCTGAATGATCGGGCCTTGCAGAAGAACTCCACGAAGGCGATGACGCAGGCAATACCTAGTCCGCCTAGGAGAACAACAAAAACCCCGCCCACTTTGGCCAACCCAAGTTCGCTGGCGGACCCTGGCCTCAAAGTTTCCGATCTGGACTGTTCGGGACAGTGTTTTGGCGGGCCGACCTTCCACCAACGGTTTTTGAGCATTTGCATGGTTCCGTCCTCCTGAAGCCGCAGGATGGCCGCCGACAGGTGACTTCGGTATGGCGAACCTGCATAAACAAACAGAGCAAAACGAATTTATGGAAAAGGTGCTTTTCTCCAGGTTACCCTACATATATATATTGTTGGAGGTTAAGAGCACACCAAAGCCCTGTCACAAATTTCTCTTCTGGCAAATATTAGTGAGTTTCTCCGCTCTAGCGATCGCGCTGGTAAAGTGGAAACGTGGAGTCTTTTGCAGAAGGAACACGTCCTGATATTCTTAACTTGCAAGAAGCAATATCTAATTGCGAAGAGTTTCAGCGTTTATTTCCCAGACGGTTATTCCAAATCTTCTTCAAATTTAAGTTCTAATAATCACGCACACTGTTTTACTTGCCCCCAATACAGCCTTTTCGTAAAAGACGACAATATTATAAAAAGAAAAAAAAAAAACTAAAAAAGGTTACGCCTCCAGCAAAGCTAAGCGTCAAATTTTAAGACAATTTTTTTTAAAAGTCAACGTCCTACGAAAAAACGTTCATTGACAGTTTTTCTGTATACGACGCTGGAGCTGTCGTCATTTGGCCCACCTTGTGGAACAGCCCTGGGACTTCCTTGATGTGTAGAGTGAAAAAACGTCTTCAGGAAAGACTACCTTTTTTTTTTGCTTTTTGTTTCCACTAGTTTCTCGAGAAATCTTGCTGAGGTACCTTTTTCTATTGTCAGCTTGAGCTCGCGGCTTTGTTAGATTACTGGGTGGGGACGAAACACCCCACTTTAGGATCGTCCAAGCACTATAATTATAGAAAATACAGGTTCATTCATTTTAGTTTTAAGACCAAAATTATCGTAAAGAAAATAAATGCTTGGGTACCATTTTTTGTATATAGCCATTCTACGTTTGAAACGCGTTTTCATACCCTTATGTATAAAACAGCTAAATAGGCTTTCCACTAAAGCGCAAATTAAAACGAGAATTACAAATTAAAATAAAAAGATTCCAGAAGCTTTTTAATTCCAGAAATATTATTTTCAAGACACGCAGCTGGGTTTTCTGAGCGTTGTATAACTTAAAGCAAGCATCGAGTACTGAGGTTGCTGTATCAACAAAACACACCACAGAACTCTTCTACTGAGAACTCCACAGCGCACTCTATTTTACAGGGGACGGTGGGCTCCTTAAACGAAATTGTGGGGTACCTCTAGCTGACCTAATTGCTTTCTTTCGCTCCATTAGGGGTTTAATTACTAAATTTAATTAAGGCCTCACAGTCCCTGCCTCGCAGTAAAATAAGCTCGGATGCGGCAGCTGACGGTTGCACATGGCAGTCAAGCGGCTCAACCTAATAACGCGTAAAGAATATTGATCCTGGTAATAGTTTTGTGACTCGAAAAAAACTACCCCACTCTTAGACGGGTGTTCAATGCGGGAGAGCGAACATCGTCATGTGTGAAAGTTTTGCTTTTCTTATATTATAGAATCATGTATAAGCTTAGAACATTTGGTAGGTAGTTTGGAGAGCTACAAAACGAGCCCATTGTTCCACACTTTGGTATGGGTCCTTTATCTTTTTTTTTTATTTCTCTCAAACTACACATCTTCGTTTTTAGTTCCAGCGCTGAATGTATAAACATTCTTGCGCTTCTTGTCAATTCGAGTGACTATGTAGATAATCATCAAATCTTGGAGGCGGGTTAAGCTTCGCCGTTAAGGGTGGAACACGATAGCGTCATTGGGCCCAGTTTGCAAGGCCTTCTTATATAAACCCGTGCTCGTACCCAAGCCGTGCAAGCGTATGACCGTGGACTAGTCGGTAGTGTCACGTGGCACGAGACGTCACGCGTGACGTTATATGTATAACGTCACATGTGACATCACAGCAGCCATGTGATGCGCTTCCCGTTAATCTGCCGGGAAAGATTTCTGGTAAATGTGGCGGGAACGTTTTCCGCTAAATATGGCGGAGCAATTTCCCGCTAAATTTGGAGGGAACATTTTCCGCTAAGTTTAGCCGAAAAAAATTCCCACCAAATTTAGAAAACCTTTTCCGCAAAATTTTGCCAGTCGATAGGGTCATGACATCACAGCCACGAGTGATGTTAAACGTAACGCCGCGTGTGTGACGTCACACGTGATTTTGACGCCATAACCCTATCGACCAACCAGGAGTTTCCGGTTCCGCCGACGCCGACACCTGCGTCGATGCCTACGCCGACCCCGAATTTTTGGTGACAAGGGCTTCGTATCGCTTCGTCATTAATAACTAAGCGATGCCGGGCATTCCGCACATAAAGAGAAAAGGCGGTGATTCGGATAAATCAATCAAACCAGTTGCCTAAAAACTTTCGTTTTAGACAACTGTTTTAATAAAGCGTTCGCTGACACCTTGGCTTGTCCGCTCGTCCCTGCTTTCTCTTGGTGCGTCGTCTTTCACTGTTATGAAATAAATTTAAAAAATGGGCACTCAACATGTTCAAACAGCAGTTATGACATATACTGCTAGGATCCGGCGGCGCGCTCATGTATATACCGCGACTACGCGTATAAGAACTCTCCTGCCAAGTCAAACCGCCGGCCGCCGAGACCCCGCGGCCCCGCTCGCAGGCATCAAGTTTCATACCTCGAAAACGGCTGTTACCCGTACTTCGGTAGTAATTCTGTTACAGTAAGTGAATTACTGTAATTCTTACTTTCTGGTACTTCGTAATTGTAATTTATTACTCTCGGCTAAAATAAATTGTAATTGTAATTTACTTACTTTCTAGCATCAATATTTGCAACATTTCAGGCACAATTAGAATTACTTTTGCAAGACTTTGCGGCGCCGAGGGAACCTCTCTGGGAGCCTCGAGCGGCCTAGCGCTCGGTGATACACTCACACACAGACACGCGCCCATACACACACACGACTAAACTAGCGCCGCGTTAGTTTTTTTTTTTTTTTTTTTGCTTACATTGCGTGTTGATAGACAATCCTGAGTGGAGCCTACCTTGACGACGCCCTCTGCGGTGCCTAGCAGAAAACAATACCGCAAAAATGCCAAAATAAAAAAAAAAAAAAAATTGAGCTTCAGCTATTAGCCGCGGTTGGAAAGTTTAACAGACCCTTTAGGAAATTCAGACTGACCACTCTGATCACTACCATCATCATCATCTGAAAAGGGAATACGTGCTACGGTCTTCTCTTTACAAATGAAGGAAGAAGTCGAATATGCTCCTAAGCAGACCATTCGAGTCCTATGCATTCGAGACGTAGCGGTATGCCAAGAAGGAATTGGACACAAGAGCTGCGTTCGTTTCTAACTCGGGCCCGGTCAATCTGTTAGTAGCACACAATTCGCTTCGAAGACCCTCGCTGTATAGTATACTTTACTGATGCATCTACCTGGGAATTTACGGTTCGTTCCGACCGGTGGCATTTTTTTCGCCAACGACACTGAAAGACGTCGAGAAAGATATATGGACAGTGAGTGAAGCGCACAACCTCGTTTGCCGTTGACTCGCGAAAGTTGCGGTGTCCGATAAATATAGTCCAGACTCCAGGTTCGTTTCCACCATTAGTACGGTAAAGGTTAAACTGCCATTTGAGCCGCCATTTGGCGCTGAATTCCCTAAAAGGTTTATAAAGTTATTTTTTCTTTTTTGTCACTTGTGTACGTCCCTTTTCCAGTACTGTCGCATATTTGTATCTTTGTATTATTTCCAAGTTTATTTCCTCTTGGTTTTACTTCAGAAATTATGTGCATGTGACTTTCGGAGACTGATCCCGCACCTGTGAATATAGTCACCAGTGATTCGGGAGCCCCGATTCGATTCTGATATATATATGAGTCATTATAATTTCAATTCAGTGTATATAATTTAAAATAACATGATGTTTCTCTGTGAATGTGGTCATATTAACGCGTGTGGATTTATAGTTTCATATTAAAACCTGCAAAATATTCATGTATGACTAATGGTCGCATTTCTATCTAAATGACTTACAAAAGTCTGTCAACCCAATTTTTTTCTTTAGCGATAGGCATCTTCCCGCCTATGAACTAATTTATGATTATCTATTGAACATATAAGAACGTAGTACTTCATTGCCTAAAACTGTCAAGTAATGTCATCAAGTTAAGAAAATTCATCAAATGAAAGCACAATCCCTAAAATTTATGCAGCGATACCTACGCCTCCTCAAACACAGGAGCAGGGAACAAACAAATGTGTTGCATTTTATACAACTCGTTTAAAGTTATATGGCCCAAGTCCAGTTGATCTCAGAATGAAGTAATTTTAAAGTAACTGCATTAATTTTAAAACGCAATTTTTCATTGTAATACTTACTTTTAGAGCGCAGCTCTCAGGCACCCGTTTTCGGCTTGAGCGGCGTCGCCGTCGCCGTCGGCGTAACCGCGCGTTGCAGTTATGTGACGTTTTCCATAATGACATTGACATTACACGTGGGTCATTCCATGTCAAATGTCCCAGACGTTGCGCTCGTAGCCATGCCCTAAACTCCGTAGCCATGCCCTAAAATATTTTTAACGAAAACAATTTTTTGATGACGTGAACGCGGTTTTAATGTTTAAAAACAGTGTGAATCTACGCATCACTCAATAATTTATGAAAGATCAGGTTTTTGATAAAAACCCAACAGTGTTTTTTTTCTTAAATTTGCACAGCTTTCGACTTAAGGCCCGTTCACACTCTTGCGACCTCTTAAACCTGGGTTCCTTAAAACTTCTTAAACCAAAGAACACAAAGCAGTGTAAACTCGGCGGTCCGGCTCATTTTTTTTATTTCTCGCGCATTATCCTTTCTTTCTTGGCTCAAAAAACTTTTGTCAATGTTATAAACGAGCCTTTCTATGGGTATTACGCACATTTGACCTCGGAAATCCCGCAAAACCTTCGCTCTTGTGAAATGCAGTTCCAGGCTCAACGCATAGATGGCGCCACAATGCCAGTGTGTTCCCTCATTCTAAAAACATTTAAGAAGTTTTAAGAGATCTCGTCTCTCTCAGTCGTACTCGGTCGCAAGAGTGTGAACGGGCCTTTACAATGTGGTTGGGCTTGTGCA